AAAAAAAAAAAAAAAAAAAAAAAAAAAAAAAAAAAAACAATCTCATCACTATAAAAACCTGAAGACCCACATTAACTTGGAAGATCATGTTTTGGTGGCTTGATTTGGGGCTCCACAGGAATTCCTATATTCTATATATTGGACAACATACTGAAAAAGGCAAAGAGGGTATTCTCTTCTTTATTTTTATTTTTGTCTGTGCGGCATTTTGTATCCAGAGAAAAAGACGGAGGCTTGAACCACAGATCAAAACATTTCCAAGTTGCCTGAATTTTTAGAATATTATAACTTACGCAGATCTGTGACACACAATAAAATTTATAATTAGATCAAAATTAAATACTTGTGAGAATTTTCAATAGTTTTAAGAAATAATTATAAAATAATCATTTGCATCTTGTTCGAACATAAAAATAAGTACTGATAAGCACTAAATGGCTGAGTCTAAAGAATTTCTTGCTTCCATATTTTCTAATTTAAACAGAAAATAACTTAGTCCTAATGAAATAGCCCTTCATTTTTTCTACTAGTTTCTTTTCCCCTTTATCAGTCAAAACATTTATTTCCAAAGGTTGATGTCATGGCTTCACAATTTCAATACTTAAATTATTGCTATTCTTTACTTCGCAACATGGAATAAATAACCACCTTAATTTATCTATCATATACTGAGTCAATAAATGCTTTTAAAGCCCTTAAATTAATTACCTATTCCTCATTTGACACTTTTTCCCTTGTAATCATTTTTTATGCTTCTAATCATTTTTTATGCATGCTAATTTTAAGTTAAAAAATATTGTCAAAACTTCAGTCAAAATATCAGGATATACTATCAATAGGATACAAGAATTCTGTTTTCTGTGAGCTCTCAAAATATGATTCTATCTAACTCTATCTAGCCTATCTATTTCTCTATCTAATTAATCCTCTATCTATCTAATTCATTCCTTAGTACCATCATCTGAAAATACCTTTAGAATCATGGCTGCTGAATAGGGAAGTAGGGTAGTTAATTGAGGTACACCAGATTGCCAAATTGAAAAAAAATTGAAATAACTAATATGAAATAAATGAAGAAGTTAAACAGATTATAAAAAAAACTAAGGGTGTGTAACCAGGCAACTCCATGGACAGTGACTACACATACAAGCAAATGAAAGCAGCTGACCACGTACCCACACACCTTGGCAGAGGTGCACTCCACATTCGTCGGCCACCACCAAGACAGATGATCTCTGAGGTCCCTTCCAATCGATAACCCGACGAGCACGAGAAGGTCAGAGTGTCACCAACCCCAAAGCTGAACCCAATTCGGTTACCATATTGAGGAGTTCCAGGATCTTCACAAGGTTCAAGGTTATATTCTGTAAATTGGGGGAAGGAGGGAATCCTCCTCAGAGGAGGGGAGGACAAAGAAAATGATAGTGGTCACTTTTAAAGGTATGTTCCTATTGTTTGCAAACTAGATATTTTTAGGGCCTAGTCACATATTTAAACAATGACTATATGTATAACTAGGGGCACATGCTAATGGAACACATCATTTTCTTTTTTTGTGAAAGATCTAATAACTTAATGAATATTTTTATGTGTGATATTCAATGTAGATGAGAAAATGTCACCTTGTGAGTGATAACTTTAAAATGTAGCTATCTTGTATTCTTTTTTCTGCACTAGAAACATTTCCATTTCATAGATTTTTGATTTATAATAATGGCATAATAGATGCATAGTTTCAAACACAAAATAACATTTGGAATGAAATAATTTGCACTTTTGAAATGTATCTTACATAATGGTTTTAATTTAAATTGCAATGGCTCTTGTGTCTCTAGTGTAAAAGGGATTCAATTAATCCATATTCTGAAAAACACATGACTTGAGATGCAAGGGTTTATGTAAGACTGAAGTGCCTACACTGAAAATTATTATATTAGAGATTTATACAGGAACTTTTCCCCAGGCAATGAATGAACATTATGAAAATGAACAACTAAACAGTCTTTAGGGTATAAGAGAGTAGGGTTGATTAAGCAACATTATGATGTATATACAGTCCTAAGAAGAAGTAGCTTATCTAAAAATGTTCCCAGAGAACTAACTTACTGTGAAATCACAATAAAGCACAAGAGGGATGGTTTTATGTTGATTAACTAATATTTCATTGTTTAAAAACTTTATTTAGACATATTTTTAACATTCTAGGTTAAAATTGATGATGCCCATTTACTATTCATTATAGAATATCATTTTTCCAGCCAAGTATTAGAATCCAAATACTAAAATAATACTTTAAGAACAAGGTTAGCATTTGTATTGTTTATATATGTACATGTGTATATATATGTACATGACATATATATATATATATATATATATATATATATATATACACAAGACAATTTTAATGTTAGCGAATTGGCATAAGATTTACTTATTAGTTTGTCTCTGTGTTAAGAAACAGCTATTTGTCTGACTATTTCATTCAACTGGAAAGTAGAACTCTAAATGGTAGGAGTAGTTTTTATTCTCTTTGGTCCATATAATTTTTTTTTTCCCAGGAACACATTATACTGCTATCTGTAGATAAGGGAATTCTAGAAGTAAAGTGTAGTTATATTAGTTTGTTTCTAGATCATTTAATTTCAAAAGAATAAATTGTTTCTTAGTCTTGGCTTGTTAACTATCCTTTTTCCATGACACATAAAAAGAGAATATCACTGATTTAATTCACATTTTATTTTTTAGTCTAATTGAAATTTTAAAATGTATACTTAAATTTTTATTTTAAGTTCACTAGGCATTTTAGATAGTTTTTCCTTCTGTTAGAATACCGCAGAAGTGTAAGTTAAAGGAATGTAGTTATTGTTCTAGTAGATATTTAGTGAACTAATTTACTTTTGCTTTTGTTTATAAAGGTTAGCTTTAATTTACTTATTTTTAAATTTTTAAAATTTATTTTAACATTTACTTGTATATATTTTGGGGGCACAGTGTGTTGTTTCAATACATGCATATACTTCACACTGATTCACTTAGGGTAGACAGCATAGTTTTGTATTCATTAACCTTCAAGGTATTTCAAACTTTCTTTAAATCTTATTGACAGATATTTCTTTGCTTTCTTCTTATTTGTTTTATTTTTCTTCTTTTCTGCTCTTTTCCCCTCTCTGTTTTGCCATTAGTTATGCTCATATTTTTAAAAACCTAATTTTTTTTTAAAGTTACTAAAGGAGCTCTTTTTGTTTCTATGTTTATTTTCTCACCAGAGAATGTAATGTTGAATCCTTCATATGATATTGAAAAATCTGAAATGAAGCGCAACTGAGCCCTGAAATTTCCGTAGAGACCAGCATTGATTGTTGAAGGAAGGTCTGAACCAGTCAGGCGTGCCAGTGGCTGAGTAAAACTACCGTTCTCTGTGATCAGCAAGTAGTCATGATGGTCTTCCAAATGGAAAGTGTGGAAGTTGAATTGCACACCTATCAGGAAAAATAAGAAAATTAGACTTACAAGGTACCTCAGTAAAACACAGAGAGTTACTGTCAAACCAACTAAATCCAAGACTTTCCTTAAAATTGATTTTTCTGAAAATAAACTGCACTGCTAAAAATAATTCAAGTGCATAGTATATTATTATAATTCTTTGTTTCTGTTTTTTTCTTCAGCTTCCTTGTAAGAGAAATAATGAGTCAGGTCTTGGAAACTGCTTGAAAATATAATTTAAAAATGAATGCCTAAAAAAAAAAACCTGAGTTTTCTGAAAATTTCAAGGAAAATATGTAACCGTTGTTTGCAATATAGGGACAGCTATATTTTACATGCTTCCTCTATTTCCTTTTCCAATTCCCTCAAACAACATAAAAACAGGAATTAATGATATAGTACCCAACTTCCAAAAAATACATGTCTTATTTTAGAAGAGAAAAATAAAACAGTTTAGGGAGATACTATTTGTTAAATAAATGTAATAACTCTTCATTTAATTATTTTTCACATATTTCCACCTGTGCATATATTATACTGAAAAATGCACATGTAAGTGTTCAGCTCATTGAATTTTCCTATACTGAACACTTGCAAAAGCACCCAAATCAATAGAACATTACCTACACCCAGAGCCTTGTTCATTTAACTTTTCTGTCACTTCAGTTTGCCAAAGGTAAACCACTCACTCTACTGCCAATAGCACAGACTAGTTTTGCTTCTTTATATAAATATTTGTGTAGTTTACATAATGGAATTATATGATATGTACTCTTTCAGGTCTTCTTTTTCTCAAGATCAGGTGTGTAAGATTCATCTACATTATTGCAGATAGTTGTGAATTTTTTATTTTAGGTGATATATGGTATCACATTCCATTTTGTGAATATACTAAATTCATTTATCTGTTCAACTGTTGATGGTTATTTACACAGTTTGCATTCTATCACGAACGTGGACAGTGTTGCTATCAGCATTCACGTATGTGTTTTGATGAACGCATGTGCTTATTTCTGTTGGGTAAATATCTAGGAATAGAACTACTGGGTCCTGGGATAATAATATGTGTTCTACTTTAACAGATACTGGTTTACAAGATGGCTATGCTGATTTACATTTCTGTAGTCAAATATGGTAGCTCTGAATCTTCACCCATACTTGAAAGTTTGGGAGGGTTTCCTTCACTTCATCCTGGTCAATATGTAGTGGTCTCATGATAGTTTTGAATGACATTGTCTAGAAAACACATAAAAGACTTACGATTGTACACATGTACACACACCACACACAAATACACACAACGTACTGTTTGTAAGGTACTGTAAGAAATAAAGGATGGCTATCATATGCATCCCTCTGAAGTACTGTTTTTTTGTTTTTTTTTTTATTTGACCTAAAAATATCACCAAAATCTTTACTAAGGAAATCCAAAACCACAGAGTAAGGTAAGTAACATGTTGTTTATTTACATTTTAGTTCCAAATGCTGGAAATTCCTGGAGCAAAGCTACGAAAAAAACTAGTCAGACAATAGGGCAGTAGATTGAGAAATAATGAGAAAAAAATATTATGTATGCAATTTTTATTTTTTAAGAAAAATGTGCTTGTTCTGATATACACTGAATAATCTGTGAGAAAATTTAAAATTCCATTAAATAGTGGCGCTAAAAAAAGACTACAGTTAAGTAGTGCTTACCTTTCTGAGCCTCACTTTCCCCGTTTGTAAAATGCAGTTCTAATAGGGTTGTCTTGCAGTTTAATTAAGATAACATAGGGGAATGACTTGGCACAATGCTGGCACAGAAGTTCTCAGCAACTGTTAGTTATCGTTATTGTTCAATCCTCCAAAATGAGACCTAGTATTTTTTATGTAAATTAACTCTGGCAAGCCTCTTTATAAAAGGAAGCTCCTATTTATCAAATTATAGATTAAATGATAAAATCTTCTTTCACAATTGCAAAACAACTTAAGACCTTCAAAGTTTTGCTAAAGATCAATTAATCCAAATAAGAAAATGTTACTGAGAGCTTATATTCTAGGCATTGTGGAATATAAAGATTTAGAAGACTGTAAATAACTCATGGTCTGTCTGAGGGAAAAGATACGTAAATCAAAATTCCGAATATTCTGCTAAATTCTATAAAACTAGTTAATATAAGTCAATATAGAAGCATGAAAATAGAGGGAATTAATTTGTCAAAGGAGTCAGTAGAGGCTACTGAAGGCAATGACCTTCAACAGTGAGAAATTCATGGAGGAGCAACCCTGGAATAAACATTTCAGGAAGGGGAAGGCAGTCAATTCTAACAGTGCAATGAGAAAAAGTCAGTGGCTTCAACATCCCAGTGCCTCTTTCTTATCTCATAAGAGTGATGATTCAAGATGCCCTATTAAGGCAATTTATGTTATAGATATACATTAAAAGACTTAGACTTAAAATCAAAATAGCACTGATATCTAGATTTTTAGCTACAGTTATGCCACTAACTACAACTACATCCTTGAGAATGTCATTAGACTCTTGTTTGTTTGTTTGTATTTTATTGTTATTCCCAATCTGTAAATTTACAGGCTTGGACTATGTTTTATCGAAGAACAGCCCAACTCTAAAAGTCTAAATTTTTTTAATGTAAATTATTTTTTCCTCAAAGTCTCTAGTAGACTACATGCAATTAGCATGTTGGTTTCTGTAATGTTTAAGGAAAATCTCTTACGGTATCATAGTAAACAAGGAATAATGCAGGCTGAATGATTGTAGTTAACTGAATTTGAAACAGTAGATCAATTGCATGCATTCAGACACCTTGACTTAATGTTAAGTGATGAAGAGATTATCGACTGTGCATTCGAAGTTTCTTATTTCTTACATATTTAGATGCTTAGATCTATGCTTGTCAAGATTCTTTTAAACCCATAGGGTGTTGATGGTCACGCTGAATAAGAAAATTTTGACTATATAATGCAAATCTAAATGAAATGTAAATCATTTCAAAATGATCTCACTTGAACTCTGAATCCAAAACAACACAACAAAATATAACAGGAGTAAATTTAAAAATGTGCATGAACATAGAAAAAAAGTCAATTTCCTAATCATACAATTTTAGAAATTGGGCTCAACTGTACTTTGAAGTCTGAATAATCTAAAAGGATGATTTAGATGACTACAAACTTTCACATATTTGTAGCAAAAAAGTTAATAAAAGCAAATATAGGCTTCATTAATGGACGTAATTTGTAGAGTTAGAATATGCCTGTATTAGGTCTAGAAAATCACATTGTTAGATATTGATATCCCTGGATATCAATAAGCTGAAACACATTAAGAGAAGGGCGATTAGCGTGATGATTAAAATGAAAATATTATCTTATGAAAAAGAATCGAGGGAACTGGGAGTGTTTTAGTTTGGGAAGAAAAGGCTTGGGATAAGGGGTAGGAAGATAAAGGGGGTAGTGGGCATATATAACATGGTGCTCCCAGAACGGTGAGTTGGTGTGCTTCAGGAATTCTAGGTTGGAGCAGGGATTAGATTGTTTTTGTGCCTAACTCCAGAGAGGAAAACAGGTGTAACATTTTCAGAATAATTTGCTAACAAATCTGTATACTAATTGAGCAGGCTTTCTCAAGGAGTAAGCATTCCAACAACAGAAGTATCCAAATCAGGCCAGTTTATCATGTTTCTAAAACACTGTAGAAAGAAATGGTGTGCCAGGTGAGAAGTTAGACTATACTACCTTGATGATTTCTCCCAGCTCTAGGAGATTATCCTTCATATAACTTTGACTACACTTTGGAATAATTACAGTTCAAAGAAACTTTGTTGGCTCTTAAATGAAAGCATCTAAATCTGCATTTCTTGCCATGTAAATACAGATTTAATTAACACTTGCAACCTGTGAAGATGCAAAACCTTAAGTGTTAATTAAACCTCTATTTACATAGCAAGCAGTATGTAGCCCTCCATTTTCTTGTATAATATCGGGGAGCTTATTTTAAACTCCATTAATCTACTGCACACTGGAATAATAGGATGCTTTGGTTAACTTCCAGCAAAGAGTTTTGTGTCATGGAAAACAACAAAAATCACTTTACAAAGTCTTCTACCTCACCCTTGCTGTTCAGTACCAGAATACTTATTTTAACAGCATTTTTTTTTCTCAATAACATTTAATTCACTGTAGAAATCTAATGATAACAGTCCTTAGATAATTCTTATTTCCCAATAAAATAATGTATAATTTTTATCAAAGGCAAACTTCATTTGTGAAAACAAAATAAATTTAAATTTATTAAACACAGCTTTTATTTTTAAAATTGTATCAGCATCTTCTCATTGCTAGATTTTAGTTTTGATTTTTTTTTTTAGATTTCCTATAGTTAAATCAATAAGCACAATATAATAATAAAATCATTAATAACAATATAACTACAGAGATTAAAAAAACTTTCTCGAAAGCAGGTTTTAAAATAAATAAACTCTTTTTAAAAGATTGACACACAGAGATTTCCCGGTAAATATATTAGGATAATCAGTTTTCCATTGTTAAGTTGTCATCTTGATCAGTTATATTGCTAATTTACTAGTTTGGTTATATTGCATGAATGAACCATAGTTAGTACTACAGGGCTTTTCATTTACTTGTTTATTCATAAAAGGACATTTATTAATATCTATCATATGTCCGTTGCAATTTTACACGCCTGTTTAACTATGTAAGTCATATCTGCAGCTCTGTACTAGAGAATTTGAGACTCAAGTATTTATAGAATAGCTATACATTTATATGGAGAATATAATTGTATTAAATAAACATAAACACTTTATAAACAAGTGTACATAAACTTGTGCTATTTGCTTTCCAATCAGCTCAACACTTGCATCTTTGTATTTCCCTCTGAACTTCTGAAAGCAACTTCTTATACTATGCCAGAGTCAAAAGCCATCCTGTTTGAGGTTTTGTTGATTTAAAAAATTTCAAATAACAATGGTTTATCATATCTAAAGAAAATAAATATCTCATTACCATTTTGGTAAAAACCCAAGCATATTTTAATGCTATAGAAAAGTAAACATAATCCTCTGCTGCAGTTACTCAAATTAAATTTTGTTTTAGCATATTTTAGTACTGATCTCTTTCTATTTATGCAAGATGACATTGTAAATTACAATGAAATAAAAACAGATGCAAAGAAAATTCAAAAGATAGCCCAATTATTATTGCATGATGCAAATTACCTTTTCCATGTGTTACATCAACAGTCCATGTACAATTCAGAGAATTTGGATAAAATTCTGGATAACCAGGTGATAAGATTGTTCCACTAGGCCCTCTAACATCTCCTCCACATAATGCTGAAAATACAAAGAAATACAGTCATATGCTCAGTCATAGTAAGAGAGGCAGAGGCTGAACAAATCTCCTATCTCCTTTCTTGAAACAGATGAGTCCCATTATCTTTGCCTAAGCTCCTTCCTGGTATTAACAGGAGTATGTAAAGATGTCTTCCAATACTAGGAAATCATTTCATTCATTGCAGCACTAGGGAAGAAAAAGGTACTTAATAGCCTCTGAGAATTAGTACTGGCCCCAAGAGAACATAGTTCAACTTCCCACATTTGAATTTGAAGTATGTACTTATGCATTTCCAATTATAAGCAATATTTGCATAAATTGGTGGTAAATTAAACAGGAACAATTAATTGTTTAGCAGCCCCTGTTATTAAGCACTAAGAAAATCTATTGGTAATTATAGTAAATTGTTTCTTACAGATTCCAAAAGGGATATGTGCCATTTTTCATAGGATTCCTTTTAAAACAGTGAAGTAAGTTGTGAAACGTTTGAAGGCTGCTTATGTATATCTGCATTTTTCTGGGAAATATCATGAACAAAAATGAATTTTTGAGGGGGCACAGATTTGTAAGAAAATATCCAAGAATAATAAAACTAAATAAATGTTTATGAATTGAGGTCAAAGAAGTTAAAATTTAATTCAATATTCATTTATTTGAGAATAAATCAGTTTACAATCTCATCTACCACATTCAAAAACCATCAGTGGGTATGATATGCCAGACAATTTTACCAATATAAATTAAAAATTGGAGGAGACAAATAGACAGCCTAGTAAGAACTTGTATGTCAGTAGGAGCAGAGGAAGTGTTGACTCATTATTCTATTCCACTTAGGAACGCCAACTTTCTTAGACATAGGCAAGGGCAGTAAGAATCATGAATGCAACAAACACCCTTATCTGCTTCGATCCTTGCCCAACATTCTCAGAACACCGAAAAAGTGGGTTTCGGCCTTGTTTTTTTCCATGATTTCTTCCAAGTAGCAATGCTGAGTATGAGGAGAGGGGAGGCAATCTGGCTGTTGTCCTGCATTACCTGATTGGAAATAGTTTAAGTCTGCAGCTACTTGAACTATTTCAGCATGCACGCTTGGACTTTCATATTTATATAAAATTTAAAACCACTCCTCCCTTTGTTACTTCTTTTACTCCACTCAAGTTCTTGAACAGTACCTCTCTTGAACTTCTTACAGGCTGCCTTCCTGAAACTAAGAAAAGCTTATGCTTCCAAACACATTTATTATCAAAATATTATAATAATATGCATGATTTGGTAGACTAGGCTACTATTGAGAGGCTTTTTAGACCTTCATTGGCAATTATTTTTAATGAATTTCTCAATTTCCTTTCAATGTTTTAATAAGCCATATTGTGCTTTGTAATCAATGTAACAGCTGTGTGTACCATATTCACTATATCTGCTAATATTGGTACTAAGTTGACCTGTTTTTATTTTCCTTTAACTCGTTTTGCTTCTTGACAGAGAACCGTTTATTTTTTATTAGATTATTTTTACATATGATCATTTATTCCTAATACGCTATATTTCATTTTATTATGCATTCTGAGAGTCTGACAAAAAACCAACAATACAACATGATATAAACTTATTGAGTGAAATATGATGAATGAAAATGCTCTACAGGATTAAAACCTACATAAAACATCTCAGTGAACAGAAAGATGAAAATTTAAGGAGTTAAATTAGGATAAAAAACAAGTAACAAAAAAGAGAGATATGAAACTTTTAGGAAGTTCATCAGCTATGTGCTCCTGTGCACGTGTGTGTGTTTGTGTGTGTGTGTGTGTGTGTGTGTGTGAGGAGTAGAGAAAAAGCTCTTCTGCACCTCAGTATTATTTGAAATAAAGCTACTTTGTCAAATATACTACTTTCTGTACTTGAAGAATTTCTTGGAAATTTTCTGTCTGCAAGGTTCACCTACATACTTGCGTAGAAGGTGGGAAGTTGAAGAGACTTTCTGCAGGTCAATGAATAGAGTCACGTAACAAACACACTTAAAAAATTGGGAGAAATAGTCAACAAGCAATATACTAATAATGAGCATTCATACTGTTACTTTGACTATAAGCAGATGGCAGACTCTAGCGTGCATTTTTATGACACAGAGGAGGTTTCTGTTATTTAGAAATAGTATCAGACACAGGCCTTGAAGGGAATTGACTTAAAGATAAAATTTCATAGTAAATAGTGAGGAAAGAATGTTCTTTAATTTTCTTTTTTTGAAAAATGAAACAAAAAATAGAAAATTCATAAACTTTATTTTGTATCTAATAAAACTCAGGATAGAATAGCAATTACTGTATTCACTAATTCTTAGCAAAAACAATACTAAACACTTCCATCGAACTTACATTGTGACTGGCACTATTCTGAAGACTTTATTTATATTAACCCAATGTGAACCCTCACAATAATTATATAAATGTACTGTAACTATTCACAGTTTACAGATGAGAAAGCGATTACAGACAGAACTTGAGCAGTCTAGTTCTAGGGTGCATGATCTCAAGTAAACTCTTCTCTTGAATCAATTGTTGATTTCTTTTTGCACATTACAAGTTATGTTTTTCAACAAAAATATATACTAGCAAGCTACAATGTTCCTCAGTTGCAAGCTATAATGTTCTTCAGTTGTTTGACTTTGTAGCATTTGCCTCAAGGATTAATCTATGTAAAAATCATTCGAGTATCATTTGTTTTCTCAGAGATTCATTGGTCCTTTCATGTTCAAATCATTCTTTTGAAGCACCTAACACCTAATATGTCAATATTCTTCTCTATGTGCTTTCATTGGACTATCTCTTCCAATACTCATTTGCCAATGGCTGTGTGATTGAAAGTTTTCCATCATCATCACCCACCTTATCATTTTATCAACATAATGAAATCCTTCATCTTTCTAAATGAGATTATTTTACATTGCAAATATTTTGAACTGAATTTGTTTTAAATTGTTAGCTTTTTGAACAATTACAAGAGATTGCACAGTGAGAGATGCTAATGCCAAATACAACGTCTGTTTGAGTTGGATTAATTTTAAAAGTGGTTAATTCATTACTGAATATTCTCTCCTACTGATGATGTTTGCTTCCCTAAAAAGCCCCTACTATTAACATGATAAGAAAGTGTAAGAGGAAATCAATAGCTTATTAGAATCAATCATGAGAGACTTAAAATTTAAATGAATAAAAGAAGATTTAAGTTTTTATATGTGATACTTTGTTCTTTATTTTCAGATAGAGAATGGAACTCAAGTACATTATAACAGATATAGTGGTATAGAGGCTATTATGAAAATCTCCAAGAACAAATGATTTAAAAGGGGAATGCTGAGATTTAAGTCAATTCAAGAGAACGTATGGGCCATTCACACAGTAAACTTCATTAGAACGAAAGTCTAAAAAGGATGCCCTGGATCTCCTGTTTTATCATGTATTACGTCTTCTAAAGGAATTCCAACTCATTCCAGCAACTTTGCTAATTGATGCCATATGTCTTTAGGAATATAGACACTATTTTAACAGACATAATAGGATTATATGTTCCTGTGCACAGGAAATAAACAAGTTGTACATTAAGTGAATTCCTAAAAAAACACAGAGAACTCAGGGAGTGATGACATATATATGAAAAAAAAATATGTTTGCTTTATGTAACAGCAAACAGCTGGCAAAGAAAAGCACCTGAAAGGATAAACATCAGTGGCACAACAGTCATAGTGACAGTACTACATATGAGTTGAGAGCAATTAGCCAGACATACAGTAATCTTGGCTAGTAGATTTTCCCCCGATTTTTGGCACATATGATCACTGCTTTTTCACATAAGTATCCATTAGAATTTTGAAATAGTGAAGTCTCCACAAAAGCTAACCCTTTAAATGTAACTGCCCAGATCTGTAAATTTACAGCTTGCCCTTGGTAGTGATACACACCTTGTCACTGCTAGCCTGTCTATACCTAAAAAAGACAATTTATAGACCATCCAAACACTTGATCCATCAAAACACTTTGAGTATTGCAGTGGAGCATGGAAATAGCCAACCATATTAGAAATCCTACTGTGATATTTAGTAACTTAGTTTGTTTTTGATTTTTTTTTTTTTTTTTTTTTTTTACGGCTGGCCAGTATGGGGATCTGAACCCTTGACCTTGGTGTTATCAACACTGCTCTCTAACTAACTGAGCTAATGGGCTAGCCCAGTTTGTTTGTTTTAAATCTCAATTCTGTTCTCTTCTTATTTCCAAGTCTTCCTACTTTAAACTCTATACCCTTATCAGAGACTGTTTATACTTGGGTTCTATGCACACTTGTTTATCTTGACCTCTTGGATCCTAAACCATAATCCATGTACTCTTTTGCTACTTTAGCCTATGTCCTCAAATCCTGTAATTAGATGAAAGAAATAAGAGAAATAATGAGGTTTAAGTCCATTCAGTTCAATTTTGGGTTCTGCCTCTAATAACTTGGGTGATTCTGAATCACATAACCTGTTTAGTACTAAATTTCCCCCCAAATAAAATGGCCATATATCAAACAAAGTGGGATAATTTGAGGGTGAAATTGGGGTGCTAGGACAAAAGCTGAAAATAGGAACTGTCTTAGGCAAGTCAGGACATGTATTCTACCTACCCATCTATCAAATAGGGGAGCTATCTTAATAAACAATATATAGTTCCTAAAAGGTTTCCTCATACCAAACATCTTACCTCAACCTTCCTCCTAGTACTCATGACAAGCTCATGTCCTCAGTGCATAGAAAACATTATTTATCTGTGACCTTTAGTATACTTCCTGCCCTTGAAAATTGACATGTTGGCCAATGCAGAATGCTGTCCTGAATTTTCTTGTCTGGCCTAGCTTAGAGCCATTTGAATTTCAGTCTTATCAAAAACACTGAAGAGATATTCAAGAGCAAGCTCTAATCAAAGTAGTAGTAAAAAGTGGTGTGTGTGTGTGTGTGTGTGTGTGTGTGTGTGTGTGTGTGTGTGTGTGTTTTAATCTAATCTCTTATATCTCAGGGCATATATATTTTTTTGACCTTTTTGTTACCAACACCATGCTCTAACCAAGTGAGCTAACCAGTCAGCCCATTCAGAGCGTATCTTTTATAAATACATGTTAAGGGAACAACAGGAACACATGGTTCTTGACCTCAAGAATGTAAGGAAAACTAGAAAATGAGTATAAATATTATCTATTTTACTAGCTCAAGGAGGACAAAGACACTGTTTGTTCATGCTCAACAGTCTTTGCATAGTGCCTAGAGAGTATAATTAATAAATATTGACTTAGTGAATCAACAAATGGTTATAAGGTAGCAAAAAATGCCATAATAAGTGGAGAACTTCAGAGTCTAGGAAAATTTGAGACTGTGTCCAGTTGCTTTGTCTAGGGAAAGCATAATCAAGTCAACAACCTTTAAAGGTTCACTGGGATTTTAATAAACATAGTTGAGGAAAGGGCTAGGACATTCCAGGGGAAAGAACAACATTAATGAAGACAAAGGGCAGAAAATATATATGGGAATTTAAAATATAGTAGTAAGGTATTTCCATAAGACTGGAATGTATCATTCATTCATTCTTTCATTCAACACAGATCTATAGAGCACCAAGTATTTGACAGAAACTCTTCCTGGCTCAGAGGATACAACAGAGAATATAGCAAAGTCCCTACATCATAAAACTTATGTTCCAATAAGGAAAGCAAACAATAAATACATAAAAATAATGTTAGAGAATGATAAATACTATGAAGAAAATTATAGTATAAAAGTGGCAGGATACAGGTTGCTCTTTTATATAGTATCTGAGATGACTTTTTGGAAAGTAGTGAGTGAAATTAGGAAGTGCACCTGTTTCAGGAAGAAAGAATAAAGGAGTGAGGGTTGGAGAGATGTAGTGAGAGCCATGGAGAAGTGGTTCTCATGTTGGAAAAGTTGCAAGGAGACACATGTAGTTGGAGTGAAGTGGCATGAATGAGGGACAGAGTGGTGAGAGATGATGTGTAGGAGGTAGTCAGGGCCCAGATTACCTGGAAGCAGCTAGGTCATGCAAAAATTTTTGGGTTTTATTCTGCCTGGGAAGGTTAAGTGCTAGAAGGTTCTCGACAGATGAGTACCCTGATCTACCCTAATATATAAAAGAATACTCTGATTACTCGGTGGAGAGTAGACCTAAGAGGTCAAGAGAAGAAAAGAGATCCCTTAAGAAGCAAATGGTAAAAAACAAGTTCTTAAATTTAGAAAATAATGCAGAATTTAACTGATGAGTTCAAAGTTCCTTAATTAATAGTGAAAGAAGATGACTTTAGAATCAGTTTTTACTCAGAGACCCAAGTATACAGCAAATTGAACTGAATTCAAATTACTCATTTTATATGATATAATTGATAGCAAAAAAGGGCAATATCCTATTTTTCAGTCACCTATGTCAAGTAGGACAAAGTATGTATAAACTATTTAGTTGGCTATATGCATTTTTTACACAAAATTTTTAAAATAAATATTATCATTGAGAAAAGAATAACAGATCTATAATTGATCTGTCATTTTAAAGATTTTTAGTACTTTATTATTGTGAAGCATGAAGGCAGGAGACAGTGCAGTAGTAAACTTGTACATACGGCCTGTGTCTAGGCTGCCTGGGTTTGAATTTTGACTCACCATTAACTAGTGGAGTGACACAGGGAAAGGTACTTAATCTTCCATTACTTTAGGTTTCTCATCTGTAAGTGGTGACCATAATAGCACTTATCTCAAGAGTTATTCTGAAGATAAAATGAGTTAAATATATGTAAAGCACCAGTAGCAATACCAGCATGTGGTAAACACTCAATGCATATTAGCTAATACACATTATTATTACCATAATGTCTTACTGTCTGGTTTGCTTTTTGAATCAGTTAAACATGGGCTGCAAAAACACAAGCTTATGTATGTTAGAGTTAAGCACAATGTATATACCCTATTTATTAGGCAATTCTAGGCCAAACGAGGTTATATTCTTGAATCAGGGAAAGAAATTCAGCTTATTCATTTTTTACCCTTTTACCACAGGAAATTTAGATTAGTTAACTCTAGGGGAAAAGTTTAGATGGGATGAAATCCTTGATCCAATTAGTTTACAAGCTGATAGATAGTTGAGTTCAGTTTAAATGAATGGAAAATTGTTAGGTAACTGCTTTATACAAAACTCAGACATTTTAAAAATGAATATAATTCATCCCTTGTCCAGTTACACTCAGGGTGAAATGGGAATACAAAAGAGGAGGACAGATAAAAATGGAGGATCAAAGTAACATGATCTGATCTTTCAAAAAAAGATGATGTTGGATGGAAGCAGATTTGGAAAGGATGGAATCCACATGGTTAAGGGTCATGAATTCCACAACTAGTAATTTGGACTTGTATCTCCAAGCAACATGAAACCATCAAATATTTTTGCCATAGGATATAACATAAAATAACCTTAGTGTAAAAGATGAAGGTTGTTTTGAAGCAGTCGGAAGCTGAATTTAAATTTGATCGCAGTTGCAATGGCTGGAGAGATGATGAGGGCCTATGTTCTTCCTGGCAAAGGAAACTGGATATATGCACTTTAAGTATCAATAAAGTTTAAGTGTGTTGGTATCGTTGGACATTATTTTTTATCTTCCTGCTTCTTCTGATAGCATTGCCTCCATGCCTTTCTTTCTCAGTCTTTACTGATGCCAACCACACTGCATTAACGGGGCCTGGCAAACATGATAACTTTACTCAACCATCATTTGTCTCAACCATAGGGATGAATGCACACAAGACATAGATGAGGCCAGTTGTAATGGACCCTTCTCTTTTACTACAATAACTGTTATGGTCTGAATCATTCAGACACCTTACTAGGATTTTTTGAATTTCAATAACGTGGAAGAGCTCACATTCTTCTCTGATCCTGAAGATACAAGGCTATAAACTTCCACCTTCCTGACAGTGTATTCTCTACTGCCAGTTCCTCACATGGAAAAATCCTGGTTGCAATTAAGGATAATTATGTGAATATACAGAGAAAAGTCTAGGCAGAAGATGGAAAGATCCTTGAAAAAGTTTGAATCCATTCTTATACTTAGCTATGAGAAGTATAGCACTCGCCTTTTCTAACATTTGAATAGTTGAATAGTAACTTCTGCTGTTATTTTTTTAAAATCAATTAGAGTTGGGTTTCTGTCACTTACAATCACAAGAATGCTGACTATTACAAGTGGTATTGTACCAAATACAGGGAAGATGTGCTAATGATTCTTTTAAACCTTGTTATAAAAACAAATCAGCCTAAAGCTGTTCCTAAAAAATGATGCCACTGAGAAGCACTTGAAAATTCATTCATAAAACGACAAATGTGATCTTCCACCCTGAAAAAGGATAAGTACAGAAATTGAAAACAGTGCTGTAAATAAAAATTAAAGCTCAGAACTAAATAAAGCATAGATTTTCTCTATGTGTGTTTTTGGACAAAGCAAGTATGAAAACACTTCCCAGACTTAGAGGAAGCAGTTTCCTGAAAAATAGAGCATTTCTGACTTATTCTCATAGAAATAAAGCAGCAGCAAAGCACACTGGTATAATATTTATTATATCTGGAAACTTGCCACCACAGGGTAGTCTGTTTAAATTTTTATGGTGTGTGTAGCCAGTTAGAATTTGGAAGGATAGGCTGAGCTTCTATCTGGATGAGTACATGTTGCCTGCTAGGGCAGGAAGCACATGCTGTGTTCCCCTACTGCATTCATTTGACACCAATTTGGCATTTCAGTACCATTTGTCAAAGGTTCTACAATATGTACTTAAAATGGTTACATACACACATCAAAATATTTATATATATATATATATGATATATATATAGAGAGAGAGAGAGGGAGAGAGGGAGAGAGAGAAAGAGAGAGAGAGAACATCTTTAGACATAGGGTAAGTTTGGCTATTATCAATAACCTTTATTCTATTAATGATTTGATAACATAAAATTGCCAAAATTCAAGATAATCTTTTAAAAATATGAAAGATTCACAGTAATGTTAAGCCCCACATTTTATAAAGATTATACTAATTTCTTTTTGGTTTATTAATCACATATTTTGCACATGGAATGAGTTCTTACCATCACAGGTTGGGAGTGGATGACTCCACCAATGGTTTTTTTCACATAAAAGTGGCTCTTCATGGCTCAACCTGTATCCTGGATCACAGCTAAAAGAAACAGTAGATCCAATAGAGAAATCATGACCATAGCGACGGCCATGTACAGGTATGCCAGGGTCTAAGCAAGAATACGTGTTCACTGTAACACCTGGGAAACAAAGGGAATAGAACAAAGAGTAAGCTTTATGGGATTCAGATTTTCTGAAAATGATTCTTATTTCTTCAAACAATTGTGAAAAATAAATATACTCATAGCTTCATTTTAAAAAAAAAACAGCAATTTATATAATAAATTTGTTTTGCCATTTCCTACCAGTAAGGATCCAATTCAGGTCATTAAATTATATAAGACCTTGATGAAAATGCATAATTATCTATCAAAATTTGTATTGTTATAAATCTTGTGTATACACACACACACAAATGTACAAAATAATTATCATAACAGTAATTAGCATTTCCTGAGCCTATTATATTCCAGGCACAGTTCCAAATATTGTGCAAAAATCCTCACTTAATCACTGAAAAGATATAATAAAGAAGAGTTGAGGCATTTTGCAATATATGGAAGTACGAACACAAGTACTTCTCTTAAGTAAAACTAAACAGTACAGCTGCTCTGGTGGCTACTTGTTGGCGTTTTCAAGCCTGTAGTGTTTTTTGATGTCTTCTGATGGTAATCTTTCTTGTGATTTAGAATCCCTAGCTGAAATCACACCATGACAATGCTTTCTCCTCAACCTTGGCACTACTGACTTTTTGAACTGGATATATTTTTTTTTTTTTTTTTCTGAGGTGTCCTGTGCATTGAAACATATTTAGGAACTCCCCTGGCTTCTACCTGCCAGATGCCAGTAGCACTTCTCCAATCATGACAATCACAAATGTCTCCACATATTGCCACCTGTTCACTGGGGTGCAAAAATACCCTCAGTTGAGAACCACTATTATAACGTATAATAAGTAATTATCTTATTCTTCCTAAATGGGACATGCAAACAATAAATAGCTACAAATTCTATATTCCAAAATTATAGTAATTAGCATTTTTTAAATTGTATAATTATATTGCATTATATTCACATGAGAAAATATTTATTTGTATTAGCTACCCAATTTAAAAATGAAGCTAAACAAAATACTACAAAATAGAAGTTTAATTTTAAAGAGGTACATTTTATGTTTTAAGTATATTTACCAAGCACATTCATTTTATTTAAATATTGTTTTTTTTTTTAATGAGAAACTAAAGTATAACAGATAATTCTATCTTCAAAAAACTATTTTTATCTGTTAGATTCCTCTTCTCAATGTGACCATTATTCTTCTAGGCATGCAAGTTTTTGAACCTACTTTTTTTCCCTCCATAAAACATGTCTAAAATCCACTCTCACTGAAAAGCACAGTGTCATTTATTACTTCCTTATCTTTCCAAGGCCTTCATCACTTCAGGTCTATGAAACAATAGATACATCT